CAACAATTTGAAAGTATTCTGGTTTTTTTTATCTTATAAATAAGTTACTTAATAATTTTATGTATTAGATTTGTACTCAAACTTTTAAACGATGTTTTTTACTATGGTTTAACCTTGAATGGTTGATATTAAAAATTTCCAAAACGTACCCGTTTCCTACTTCTTTCCACGTTTCCCTTCTATCTATTCGTTTTCAATTTTATGCAACATGGGTTTTAAGTATGATTTTAAAAATTTAGTATACTTTTTTTTTTGATCGAATAATATACATTCAAAATTATATTCAGACGATAGAATAAATTCTCAGGTCTGCCCCTTTAATTACTATGATTATATTAATTGAATATTACAAATAAAACTATCCGGTATAAAATATTCACGTTGTAACAACCTAAATTTAAATGCTTTTAATTTCGTTTGATTAAAGATTTGTTTAAAGAAAGTGTAATAAATCTTTCAAACTAGGTAACTAATCTGTAGTTTTCATATGTGCATGTGCTTAGCCACATACAGAATCCTAATGTCTATCTTAAAAGATAAGAAGATTACATGTGTTTGGCCACGTGGCTTGATTAGTAATATCATAAAACCCTAATCAATGGCCGCTCATGTGATGACTATTGTATCTTATCCCAACAAAGCTTACCTACATCCATATAATAACCACATCCGTAATCCTTTGCTTCATTTTAAACCATCAAAAATGTATTTCTTTTTTCTTTAATCCTTCAATCTTGTTTTACATGAAGCTATGGTCACACATGTTGCTGAATTCTCAGGCGTGCGAGCCAGCAATAACTGTGGGGATGCATCTTCATTCGATGCCATAGCTTCACATATCATGGTGATTATTTGATTGAATGTAATTGTGATTTTGTGAATGTGCATATATATTGATTGGGCATATATAAGAAGAGTTTGTTGTATTACATATTTTCGTGGTTAGTTATGCCTTGTTTTGTTAATATATATGGTTCATGGAATCTTAGGCTGTGACAAAATCTCTAGTCGAAGATCCTCTAAAGCTTCCACTGAGCTTGGCGTTGACATTTTTATCGAGGTAACTTGTAAATAATCTATACATATGTTTTCAATCGATTCAATTTTACTACTTGAAATATGTTTTGTTTATGAATTAGACTAAGAATTGTTTGTTTGGGATGATAAACTGATACCGTGGTATTAGTTTATCGCTGCATCCCTAAACAAACATGCATAATAAACTTAATTTCGTAAATGATTCCATAAAAATAATATTCAATCAACGTATTTTCTCTAGACAAACTGTATTTCAAAGAATTAAAGCAAATATTGTATAAAGGATTGGTTTTTATGTGTTAACTATTATGATGGATTTACCACTTGTTATAAATACGTATAAATGCTTATGTTTATACTATGAGTCTACGAAATTACGAATTACTATAATGAAATCTGTTGTCAAAAGAAAAAACAAAAAAAGCGAAAAAACAATCAAAGAAATCGCCAAACACGGTGGACGAGATCCCAAACACCCATAACACCATTCACAAAAGATGTATTTGTTTTCACGTTTGGTCGTACGTTTGGTTAAAGTAGAGTCGTTTTCTTGACATCTTCTTTTGAGTATATGAAATTTTTCTTCACCTTGTTGCAAAATGCACACAAATCAAAAATCAAACACATGACATTATAATTTTCTTCACCTGGAAGC